TTAAAATCCTGATTTCTGGGCCTCATCCTCTGGAAATTCTGTTTCTTTGTTACTAATGTTGTGGCCCCACCCCATAACAAAGAAACAGAATTTCCGGAGGATAAGGCCCAGACATCAGGATTTTAAAAATACTCCCAGGTGATTCTAATGTGCAGCCAAGGTTGAGAACCACTGGCCTAGGAGGTAACCTGGTGCCGTGGAGAACCATGCTCCTCAGCTGGTCCTGAATTTGGGTTGATCCTCAGTGTCCTATACGTATATGTATTTCAGAATTTCAAAGTAAGATGATTATCTCTCAGTTTAATTCAGGTGCTCTATCTATCAGATTATAACCCCCGCCCCCCATCGGTTCAAGGTCTCACCCCGAAGACCGAGGGCCCAAAAGTGTTCCCTGGGGTTGGCTCTTAGGTTCCAGGGCTAAGGCTGTTGGAAGCCAAGACCACTACATACTTGTGGGCTTTCATATGTCGTTATCCATCCCCACATCCCATCATCCACTGTGACATCAGCTGCCCTTCACAGCTTGAGGGGCAAGGTCAGGTCCAAACAGCATGACTGCAGGCGGTCTCATCTATTTTGTGGAGTTTTCTCTCCTTCCATGGGCCTCTCTTCATCTGATATACACACACACACACACACACACACACACACACCAGGGCTGAATTTGACCCAAGGCTCAGCCCTGGCTGCTTCACTTCACTGCAGAGTCAGGACCTGGCTGCACCTTTATGCCTGGGCAGCTGCAACACCCGTAAACTTGACGGCCCCATGCCAGCGAGCCTGGCTTCTGAGCTCTTTAGTGGCCCAGTGCTCTGTTCCTGGGCCTCCATGGAGCCCCCATTGCACCCAGGTGGCTGGGTGAGCGCCCTCTGCAGAGCTCTGCCCCATCCAGGTTCCTCCAGGGAAGGGTTTCTCCCCAGAAGTCCTGCGCCTTCTCACCAGCTGACCCTGGGAGGGGCTGCTGAGATAGAAGGGTCTCCTCTCAGTGGGTTCCTCCTCTTCTGCTCGTTGGTCAACTCACCCACCCGCTGTCAACGGAGGGGTGACAGGAGGTGGCCTCTGCCTGGCCACAGAAGTCCACTGCCACCTTCCCCTCAGCGTGGGACTTTCTGCCCAACATCTGCCTCGAAGGCCCCTCAAGAGGTGTTTCCTAAAACAAAGCAAGTTCCTCCAAGGTAACCAGATGGCAATGTGCCATTTTCCTCCTAGGAGCCCTCCTCTGACCCATGTTCGAAGCCTTCCAGGGAGTTCGTTTAATGAGGGGCCCTGGGGGAAGGGCAGGGAGATAGGCAGAGGGCTCCTAGGGCCCAGGCACTCACAGGGCCTGGCCAGGGCCCTGGACATCTAGAGGGGAGGGGTGGACCCCAAAGATGAATTTGCCTCCGTGCTCTGGGTCCCATGATGGAGACTCTTAGAGGCCAACAGGGGTGCCTCTCCCCCAGCCCAGTGGGGCTGGCAGACCCCCAGCTCCAGCTCCCACGCTGGTGGCAGCGGTCCCTCCCGCTCTCCCCTCTCTGTGGGTCCCCAAGTTTCTGTCTGTGCTGTCACCACAGGCCTTGTTTTGCCTCGCTTGTTCTCAGCTTCCCTCTCACACTCTCCCTTGCTGCTTCCTTCCATCTGTCTTCCTGTCTGAGTGAGGTTCCCTGGGCTCCCTGAGTGTGGGCAGTTCCATTCATTTCCTGGCTCCTCTCCGGGAACAATGTGTAACACACACACAGCCACAGTAAGATACACACCGAGGCTGGGGAGCACTTCAGGGCCAGTTAGAGCCCCCAAGCCCCAAGCTGCAAGCTGGGCCCCAGTGGGATTAGGGAGGGGGGTCACCAGCACCCAGCCAGGTCCCCCTCCTGCCCCCTGACCCAGTAGGAGAGAGAGGGCCATGCCGAGGTCCCGGCAGCACAGCCTGAAGCTGAGATCAGCAGAGGCCTGGGCACCCCACACCCAGCCCCTCACCACCGCCACCCTTACCTGCTGCAAAGGAGGCTGGAATTCATTGGTTCTAGTCAGGCTCTCAGCAAACCTGCCATGTCCCTGGGCGACCAGGGCTGCACCGGGCTCTGGAAATGGGAGTGTGAAAGTGCCCAGGTTCTAACATCCTGGAGCTCTGCGAGAAGATAGGCAGATGGCTGCAATCCTACTCACGGACCCTGTGCCAAATGCCAAGGGTGGGCTTTGAGGGAATAAAGGTCGATGGGTGATGACCAGGCATCGGATGGGGGTGGGGCATTCCAGTCAGGAAAGACCCAAGGGCCCCAAGAGACCAGGGTGTGCTCGACACCCCAGTGGGGCCAACTTCTGCAGAACACCAATGCCAAGTAAGGACAGCCTAAAAAATAGTTCATTTTCTCTCACCACCTTCTATGAAAGAAGTAATGTTTTAACTAGAAAAGAAAGACTATTTGGAATAAAAGGTATTGCAACCAAGAAAGGACAGCTGCACCTGGACTGCTATCTGCTGACTAGAGGCCTGGTGCACAAAAATTTGTGCACAGCCTGGCCTGTGCCCTCTAGCAGTCTGGGACCCCTCGAGGGATGTCCACCTGCTGGCTTAGGCCCGCTCACCGGGGGATCGGGCCTTAGCTGGCAGTCATTCATCCTTCTGGCAGCCCAGGAGCCCTCAAGGGATGTCCACTTGCCAGTGGGGAGCAGGCCTAAACTGCAGTCGGACATCCTTAGCACTGCTGAGGATGCGGGAGAGGCTCCCGCCATCACTGCTTTGCTGGCAGCCGTCAGCCTGGCTTGTGGCTGAGCAGAGCTCCCCCTGTGGGAGTGCACTGACCACCAGGGGGCAGCTCCTGGATTGAGCATCTGCCCCCTGGTGGTCAGTGTGTGTCATAGTGAGCAGTCATTCCCAGTCGTTCTGCTGTTAGGGTCAATTTGCATATTATCCTTTTATTATATAGGATAGAGGCCTGGTGCATGGGTGGGCGCCAGATGGTTTGCCCTGAAGGGTGTCCCAGATCAAGGTGGGGGTCCCACTGGGGTGCCTGGCCAGCCTGGGTTAGGGGCTGAGGGCTGTTTTCAGGCTGGCTACACCCCCCCCCTTCAGGGGGGTCCCCACTGGGGTGCCTGGCCAGCCTGGGTGAGGGGCTGATGGCTTGTGGGTGTGGCTTGAGCATAGCGGAGGGATGATTAATTTGCATGTTTCTCTTTTATTATATAGGATTGCTTTGATAGACCGAGTGATTCTTGTTTTCATCACTTTATTGCTGACTACTGAGCCCTTTATCAGGGACCAGAGCCCCAGGGGACTGATAGGGGCACTGCGGAGGTCGATGAGAACTGGGCACAGGCAGGAGGAAGGAGCCACACCAGGAGGGGCTTTGGACTTGACACTCAGGACTGTGGCTTCTGCCCCTTGATTAACAATGAGCCAGGGGAGGGGTTATTTGTTTGTTTGTTTTTAATATATTTTTTATTGATTTCAGAGAGGAAGGGAGAGAGAGAGAGAGAAAGAAACATCAGTAATGAGAGCGAATCATTGATCGGCTGCCTCCTGCATGGCCCCTACTGGGGATGGAGCCTGCACCCAGGCATGTACCCTGGCCGGGAATCGAACCATGATCTCCTGGTTCATAGGTCCGACACTCAACCACTGAGCCACGCCGGCCAGCCAGGGGCGGGTTTTAAGGGAATGGATGCTGTGATTGGAGTCACATTTCTGGACAAGCATCCACTCTCACAGCTGTATGTTAGCCTGGGCTGGAGGGGAGGCCAGAGGAACCATGAGGGTCTGTAGTGAGGCCAGGACAGTGGCCGTAGGACTGGAGCAGAGGGAGCAAGGAACAGGCTAAGCAAGGAGCACCTGCAGGTGGCCGGAATAGAGAGCTGATTATCCTGAGATGAGAACACAGTGGAATTATTAGGGTAATGGAGACAGGCTTCATTTTTTTAAAAAATGGTTTATTATGTAATATATATTATGTATAATACGAATATGTACGTACATGATATCTGATGTACACATAGATTAGGAAGCATAATAAAACCAACACCCCTAGACCCACTATCCAACACCACTCTTGTCTCGCTGAGTCCTGTGCTTTCCTTTCCCATCTCTGGCCCCCACCTGCGCCCCTGGGTTTATCAGCCTCTTCTCCTTTCAAGAATAATTCCAGGACTTTGTATGTCTCTCACACAGTGTAGTCTTTCTTGTTTTAGAGCTTAATTTAAAATGTGTCTCCTAGATACATACCTAAGAGAAATGAAACCATGTTTGCAAAAAGACTCCCATGCAAAGCAGCCCTATTCAGAGTAGCTCAGAAGTGGAAACAGCCCAAGTGTCCATCAGCTGGTGAATGGGTAACAAACTGTGGTATATCCACACAATGGAAGGTTATTTGGCAACAGAAAGAATGAAGTTCTGATACATGCTACAACATGGATAAGCACCAATGATGCTAAAGTGTGAACAAGTAAAAACCAGACACAAAAGACTACATATTGTATGATTCCATTTATGTGAAATGTCCAGAAAAGTCAAATCTATAGAGACAGACTCCAGATCAGAGGTCACCTGTGGCTGGGGGTGGGAATGGGGAGTGACCAAAGGTTACTTTGGGGTGTTGGAAATGTCCTGAAATTAGACAGTGTGGTAGTTGCACAGTTCTGTAAATAACCTAAAAATCATTAAATCATACATTTAAAATGGGTGAATTATGCTGCAACATGGAAATGGAAATCATCCTATCTAATAAAAGAGAAACATGGTAATTAGCTGTACCTCCGCTACCCTTCCCATTGGCTAATCAGGGAGATATGCAAATTAACTGCCAACCAAGATGGCGGCCGGCAGCCAGGCAGCTTG